GAGGGCTGGGGGCAGAACCAGTGATGGGGGGAAAAGAGGGTCCCCTGCCCAGGCCTGACACCTCTGCCCAGGGGCCTGGGCAAGGGGCCGATCCTGCGATTGGAGGGTGATGGGGGTCAATGCCTGAAGGGCTCCCATATGTGAGAGGGGACAGGCTGGGCTGAGGGACACTCCCCCCCCCCACACACCCAGTGCACGAATTTCGTGCACCGGCCCCCTAGTACATATATAAACACTGTGAAATGATTCCTATGATTGAGTTATTTAGCGCACCCAGGATGGGTTAGTTTGCGCATGAATCGAATAAAAATCAAAGTATGTGTTAAAGTCACGTGAATCATTTCTCTTTGAATTGATGTATGACCAGTACTGCATCGCTAATTTAGGTAGCGCACTAGGGAAAGCAGTGTGGATGAATCAGTTTCTATTACTGAAAAAAGCCAGGGCATATACCCAACAATGGTTTATCTGAATGCACACGATTATTTTAAGTACTTTGACTTGGGAAAAAGGGTTTGTTTTTTAACCAAGCTCACTTATCTCCTGCCTATTTCATTCTTTTTGTTTGTTTGCTTCTGACTTTTACTTCTTAAGTAACTCAGAGTGAAGCTACACTATCTATGGAGAAATTTAGGACCATGCAGTGTTTTATTTAACAATCTCTGCATCAAGACATTGTATAACAGAATTTTTGTAGGTAAAAGGAAATTAAAAATGTGTTCCAGCAAAAGTCCAAATTATGGCTAACAAAAGCATTAATTGGTGAATGATGCTACTGAAATCTGTTCAGTTTTTTAGAGTAAGAAAACATTTGCACTTTCTAGATTTAAAAGGGCATCACTCATATTTTTGACACTATAGCAACTACTTATTAGTGATGTTCATTTATTAGCAATGCATTGAAATGTTCCCCCCCACCCCCCCAATGGAAAATTTAGAAACTCTCTCTGGTGGTACTTGATGCTATCCAGATAATGTTAAAATTAATATTTGAATTGCAGCTGTTAATTCAAGAAAAATTTCATGACCTGTTCCCTATAGAGACTCAAAGATAAAGTTTTCATCTTTAAGGAGATCAGTAGTTTATTCTTGATCAGATTTTGTTTTCTGTATATGTAACTAAAAACAAAAAAACTCCAAAGTAACAATTTGAAGGATGAAGGGTATCATTAGGCAGGGTTATATAAACAGCTCTTGAAAACAAAGTTCAGCTCAATGTTATTTTGTTTTATACAAATGAAATGATCAGCTTCTAAAAATATTGCTTATAGCTATTAAATTAAAACAAAACAAACACAAATTGAACATGTGATACAGTTGCAAAAGACACAAAACTCTGTTCTTATTTCACTGGTGCCTACACAATGAAGTTAGTACTAAAGAAAGAAAAATCATAGCATAGTGTATTAATATACAAGATTATTTGTTATTGCTCAGTGCAATGAGACACAGATAAAGGCATTAATAACTAAATGATTTAAAGGTTTAATATATTTACTTTTCCACTATAAAATGAAGACCTCTTATGTAACACAGCTAAGCTAATACATCACTAATAGAATAACATATTAACACATGTCTAAAACTTTTATCATACAAACATTTCAAGCAGGACCACTGAAAGTCAGGGAAAAAAAGCAATCAACGTTAATAACAAAGAATTAGTCATGGAAGATCAAATAGCTTAATATTTACACTTTGAGAATGCATGTTCCTTTTGACTATAAAATAGCTCCTTTACTAATAGCCAAGTACAAGCCAATTATCAAATTTGGCAAGGTCTGGGTGAAAAGGCAGAAGAAAGGACATAAAGTACATTTCCGCCTTCCTGTTCTAGAACATTTAGCTTGCCCTTTCCCTCAACATGGCTCCTTGCTCTCTGGCAGAAATTAGGCTGCAGAGCAAGGGATGCCATCGTTGGCAGCAGGACCATGTTGGCCATATCACACGGTCAGAAAGGGAAGGTGTGAATCGCAACAGAAGTTACAGTGCCTGACGACACACTTGGCTTTTAAATGCTGACATGCAGAGCAAAACGGTTGAAAATTACTTTGTAGGAGCATTCACAGCTACGTAACAAATAAAACTCGTATCTTGTGCATGCTAGGAGTAGAAGGCCCTCAAGTAAAGGAACAAAAGCCAAACTCAAAAGGAAGGGAAAAGAAAAGGAAAGTTACAGTGACCATTCCTGGGAACTTACTCAGAGTCTTTGTTCCATAACCGTCGTCACCTAATCCGGGGATGTCCTGCATGGAAGTCCCCAGAGAGAGCAATGAGAGAGGAAGAACAGCCGCGGAAGAGGAAGGAAGAAGTCAGTGGAGTTGAAATGGATACTACCATGACAGACCGCGTTGCCTAAGCAATCTGGATCCCAATCTCTCTTATTTTGAAACAGCTTTCGCCCCAAACTCCCTGGGCTGAGACTCTAGAATTTGTAAAATAACTCAAAAGGTTTGAGCAGATGATTGTTACAAAAAAGAGAAAGATTCAGCGGATGACATTTTTGCCCATTGCCGACATTGCCACGAAAATATACCACTTAGAGCAATGATTCACTCCACCTTTCATGACCAATTCTTAGATTTCATATCCACCAATACAAGCTCACTGCTCAGCAGGAGTTAGTAGTCATTGGCAGTGAAAGAGTGAACAAATGCTCGTTATCAATATAGGGAATTTAATCACTTCCAATTAGCTAGCATTCCAAAAAATGCAAGTGGCAATGGAATATAATACTTCTGTCCAGAATAGAATTCATCTCAAGCCCTAGAGAGTTGCATGAGAGAAAAGGCAAACCAGACCCAGTCCTGGTCACAGATAAATGCTCTATGGAAGCCAAGTCCCAGCATCCTCAAGCCCCTCTCCAGTGCATCCTGCAAAGAAGAGCCACTCGAAGGGAAGGATCCAGACTGCAGCCAAACACTGGTCACAGCAGTAAGCCCTGACCTGCCTGCCTGCCTGCCGTGTTTGTTTGCCTGGGCATGTGGCGTGGGAGAGCCTACATCATGCGTGTTGCCGGTGAAGGATTTTTTTTTTTCTCTTGTGTTGCAGGTGACATTCTCTTTGAGAATCTACTTACGTTCAGGATCACTGGTTTCCTGCTCACTCTGCTCCTTGTTCTTGTAGAATGGGAATTTTCGTGAAAAGATGAAGCTCTTTTTACGCTTGTCATTGAATGACTGTGAAGGAGAAAAGGCATGGGGCAAAAACAGGGGACGTCTAATTGTTGTCACACTCATGCTGACAAAACAACTAGTTTGTAAAAGCAGAGAGAGCTGTAGTGACGCAAGGGGATAGTCGAAGGAGGTGCCAGCGGGTCCCTAGAGGCAGATTTCACTTTCAAGGAGTGTAAATTCTGAGTGATGACACCTTGGAAAAGTTGTATCCTAATGAAAAAACTGGTTGTAGCTGAATGATAATAGAGTATTGAATTGGAAGCTCTGTCTCTGTCCAGCTCTATGACTTGCCAATCCATGACCTTAGACTGAATCTCTCTGAACATCAGTATCTTCTTCATCAACATAATGCGGATAATGAGAGAAGCTCTTAAGTTGTGAGACTCATGTAAGGCAGTGGAAATGTAAAGTGCTAATCAAATGTTATCTTTATCATTATTATCATCGGGTAGAAAAGATTTTATTAGGATACTAGACACATAGATATCTAGGTGTCTTTTTAAATAACTTGTCTTTTTGAATTACTTTAACTTAGATTTAATTAAAATCACACAGAAAAGTATATAGACTTATGACATGATAATTATAGCTGCTTCACGCACAGATAAATAACTACAACATTTTCATTCATAAGTGATTTTAAAGATAATTAGCCCAAGCCTTCATTTGTAGACAGGGGGCCAGAGGCACAGAGAGGTGGAGTCTCTTGCCAATATCACAGAGCTAGCTGGTGACTCAGTCAACCAAAAGCTGTTAAAATTGTTGCTAAATAGGTATCAACTCGATATTCATGCAAGCAAGGGAGCTATCACAGCTACTTATCTATATTCTGATATGATAAAATATCATTGAAGAAAGACTGACTGTCCTTAAAAATGTAAACCACTCCAATAGCTTCAATGAGGCTGGATTAAAAATAATAATGTATACCTGTACTAGAACTTTTTTATTCAAGTGACTATCAGACGCTTGCCTAGAAGACTCCTTGAAGATTTTTCATTTATTCCAATCGTTGCTATTATGGAAAATGCTTTCTGGGCTCTTCTTTGGGAAATGTGCTCACAGTCATTTTATAACCACACAAGGCTTAGTAAGTTCACTTATCATTAAAAAAATGTTTTGCCAGCTTGACTGCCATCCTTACTTGACTGATTTGGCTCTCAGGGTCACTCTCCAAGGAACAAGACATATTACCATTTAGGTATTGCAGGGAATGTAATAGACTCCCAGGGTAATTCAACAAGGAGTATTCTAAATCAGTCTTCGCAATGGCAGCTGGTAGAGCCAGCAAGGCGACTGCTTGGAAGAAAAGCACTTGTTTATATGCATGTATTTGGGTCCACTGGTATGAATCAATTATGGGTCTTTACAGATTTGAAGCCTGAGAAAATGGTGTAAATAACTTATTTTACTTGTATATTCATGCACTTCTACATCAACATCCGTTTTGGTCGTCATGTTCATTTAGGAAACGTGAAAGTACTAAAATGTTGGTGCTGTCAGTTAGTGAGCCATTCATTACTTGTTCAGTTACTAGAAAATTTCACCAAAGTTGGGAGAGCTTAATTTTATGTATCACTAAGAAGGCTTGAAGAAAAACATTAAATCAGATATTTAGTAATTTCTGAAATAAAGGGACATATTTTATACTTAATATTCTAGAACCAGAAACATTCTCAGGGGACAAAAAGAAGTATCACTTCAGAATTTATTACTCTGTCGACAGCACTTAGGTTCAATATGGTTTTATCATAATTTGTAATTGAGAATTGGTGTCCAAAGACAAGGATGGGAACTAGCCTCCCCCCACCCCATTTTTTCCAACTAAAAAATGGTAAGTTCTTAAAGCAACATTAAATATTCTTGCATCACTCCAGTTTCATGCCACTTTTACATTTCAAGCATATTTAAACTTCAGTGACTGAAAATAAAAGAAAAAAAATCATGTAAGAATTAATGACATGTGACATTGCAAGATATGTTAGACATTTAACTTCAACAGTATGGATGACTTGTCATGCAAAAAAAAATTTTTACAAATTTTCATGCAAATACAAAACAATGCCAAGATGAGTAAAGCCTGGGGTTAAAATGTAGACACAGATGGACAATGAAGGAAGCCTTGAGAGACAATATGGGGCCACGTGCAAACCACATCATTTAAATTGTCTCACGGGGTCAAAGGAAAATGAACATGTGTCGCCTGTGATTAATTCTTTTATCTTTTCAAAGCAGGGGCTGTAATGTGTTAACATTTCCCAAGTATCAAAATGTTGTGCATCATAGTCATCTGATTGGGACATAATATTTAGCACCACACTTGTAAAAGAACAGAAAATACATAACAATTCCTCAAAAAGAAAATCATCTAGCATAGTCTTATCACCCAAAGCCATTTTGTGTTGGAGTTAAAGAAAAGTAATGGAATCATTGGAGGTTACATTTATGGACACAAAATCAAATCACAACTTCAGTTCACACAGGTTTAAACGTCACACATTTAAGGTCTTACTTATTTCAACATTTCAACTGTAAGAGGTTATATGTGGTTTATGATGTTCTACCACTATTTTTTATTAGACATGTTTAATGCCATTATATAAGATTTTTGTTGCTGTTAGATTTTCTTTAAATTTAGAAAAGGAAAATCTGTTATACCAGTGTTAGGTGAGAATAATAAATTAGCACTTTTACTAGTTACAGAACACATGGCTCTAAAGCAACTGAAGGCTGGTTTACAGCACTATCAATCATACCTGATCAAGGTAAATTTTTTTCTCTCTACATTACAGTATCTTAAATCCCCATCCATTGCTTTCATGGCAGGAAACTTTTCTCAATAGAGATTTTAAAAATACCAATCACATGTGGCAAGTTGGCATATCTAAGAATTCCATTTTGGAATTTGAGCGGAATTTTTGAGTTCTTATGAACAAAAGTAATAAAGCAACAGCTAGTGTTTATTGAGCAACAGTTATGTGCCAGGGTTGGTTGCAAAGCTCTACATGTGCTAACCTCCACACTAACTTTACGAGGTTGGCACTATCATTATTCTCATATTACAAAAGAAGAAACTGAAGTTTACAAATCTTCTGTTACTTGTCCAGAGTCACACAGTTGGTGAGCAGTGAAGTCAGGATCTGAATTTGCCAATATTTGTTGTTCTTATGAGAAAAATGAGGTTCTGTAACCAGAGCCTGTTTCAAGTTTATATTTAAAGTCATTTGTCTTTATACTTAAAAAGCTTTTGTCTTTCTTAAGTGATAACATAATCTGTCATTATTCCCACAGCTTCCTTGCTTGGCAATGCTTTTTAAAAAATCCATCAGATGCTATTGCTTCAATAATATCTTTGTGGTTTACCCTGCTACAATTTTTGAATACACATTTATGTTTTTCAGGGCTCTATCCTTTGTACTTATTCTTATAATAATGTAAAAAAATAAAAAAAGCATTTCAATGTAACAGGCTATGAACAGGATTGAAGGTAGGGAATTATGGGAGTGGGAAGTGACAAGTAATGGGTAGGGTGTTTACTTTAGGGGAGATAGAATGTTTTAAAATTAGATTGTAATGATAAGTGCATAACCCTACGAATATACTAAAAATAATGCATTGTGCACTTTAGGTGGGTAAATTGTATACTGTGTGAATTATGTCTCAATAAAGCCATTAAAAGAATCCCAAAACAACATGGAACCCCTCTGCCAAACTCTACACCACGTGATGAGAGGAAACAATCACAGCATGTTTTCAATTTTATTTGGTCTAAATATTTTTTTATCTTTAACTGAATGAGAGGAACCCCTCTCTCCCAACCCTTGCAATCAATCCGATACACATGCCTTGTTTATCTGATTCTGTTGTGTCTCTGTGAAATGAATACCTTTCATGTTGTGACAGACATTAGAACACCTGTACCAGGAGTCAGCATATTACATCACTGTCACTCAAGAAGAAATTTCTAAATTGTTAGGTCAAATGGCATAAAACTGCCCAGCCTGACCCCAAGATGTAATGGCATTCGGAAACTGGCTTAAGATAAAATGCACACTCACAAATAACAAAAGGAAACAACACCAAAAACTTCAAATTGCTACTTTTCCCACTCAAATCCCATGTTCTTAAGACATGTGAGTGACTTGACATACTTTAATCCTTCCCATCCAGAAAACTTTCTAACTCTGGGTAGTTTTCAGTTTTCTTCTACCTTAACCAAGAGATCCAATATAGCATCACCAAACAGTGGGAAAACTTCACACCATATGCCTCCTGATGGGAAGTACTGAGAAATAATATTACTTACGTAGTATTCCTACCAAAACTGCATTACTTGCAGCTAACCATGAAGAAATAATCAGGCAAATTAATATTAAGAGACCACTCTTAAAATATCACTATGTCATGAGAAATATAAAAAGCTAAAGAATCATTATAGATTAAAGGAGGTTAAGGACATAGGGGAAAAAGGGAATGCAATGTGTGGTTCTTGACTGAATTCTGGATCAGAACAAAAAATTCATAATTTCTAAAACTTTCTTTCATAATAAATTAGGATGTATATATATCTCCCCTCATATATAGGATGTCCTCCGAAAATGTATACACACTTTAACAGTTGATAGTTCAATTTTGAAAATAAAATGTATTTTTAATAAACACTGCCTTTATAATTATTTAAAGTGTGTGTATACATTTTTTGGACACCATATATATATTCTTACACAGAATGACAAAACAAGGTAATTGTTAAATTTGAGTAACAGGTACAAGAAGTTCAGAATTCTATTCTTTCTATATTTTTACATGTTTGAATGTTTTCATAATAATGAACTGTGATTCATAGCCCACACACTAAAATTATCTAGAGATAGACTGCAGACCTAAGTATAAAAGCTCAAACTATAAAATTTCTAGAAGAAAACATAAGACTATATTTATAATCTGAGGTCGGCAAAGATTACTTGGATAGAGCATAAAAGCACAGATAATAAGTTTAAAAA